AAAACTCTAGACCACATTGCTTGGTCCTAGAAAGTTATGGCACATTTTAGGAGAAAATGTGAAAATAAGGATGCCTAATTTGCACTTTTTTCTATTTAAGGATGTTAATTTTATTAGCTTCTAAATAAAGATATGTTAACTTTCAATTTTTTTATTTAAGGATGTCAACTTTTAATTTTTTTTTTCTATTTAATGTTAATGTGGCAAATGAATTTTTTAACCAAAATGTTGAAAATTAGCATTCTTAAATAAAAAAAATTCAAAATTAATATTTTTAAATAAAAAATTTAAAAGTTAATATTTTTATTTAAAAATTGATAAAATTAACATTCTTAAATAATAAATATAAAAAATTGATGTCCTTATTTGCACTTTTTCTCCAAAAATTTAGAATTAAAAATGAAAATGGTTGACTTTTGTCCTTTAATGACGATTAAGGGTAAAAAGCAACATTTAGGTAATTAGGCTCTAACTAGAATAATCCATCGTGAATTAATTAAATTAACTATTCCTTTATTTCAAAATAATTATCATTTTTTCATCTTTCAAGGTAGATAAATTTTTTTTCTCTAATTTTATCTTTTTATTATCTATTTATTTTACTTATTCATCTAATCATAAAATTTTCCTCTTTATCTTTTATTCCTTTTTTTAAAAGTATTATTGACAAATATAAGTATTGTCCATAAATCCTTAATTTAGAAAGAAATTAAAAAAATGACAATTATTTTGAAATAGAGGGAGTAAAAATAATCAATCACTTTAATTGCATCCAAATTAGGTTGATCAAATTAATTTAATTAGAAATTATTAAGACTAATTAAAGAAACTGCTTCTACTATCCCAAAATAACTGTTGTGTTTTAATTTTGAATTTGTTTCAAATTAACTGTTTTGTTTTTAAAAATTTTATAGTAGAAAAATAATTTTTTCCTATTTTAACTCTGTCATTATCTATTTATATTGATTAGTAATCCTATCACAAAAAGCATAACATTATCTTTTAACTTTTCTTGAAGATAATATAAATAAATACATGAAAGAGCAGTGATATAAAAACAATTTTTTTATATAATTTTTTTATACAATTTTCATATGTTATTAAATTAATAAATTTATTTAATATTACGGGTTCTAAATAAATAAAAAGAGTTAATGATTTAAATAATACCTAAGATTGTACAAAAATATATTAAAAAATTTGTCTCTAAATCATTTTCCATACTTCTTTTTCTTTTTTTTTTTTTCTTTCTTCTTTAGATCTTTCTCCATTCTCCCTTCCCTTTATTTAGTACTTACGTCTTCTTTATCCATCCAAGGGATCTCCTCAAAAATCATGTCATAGATATGCTCCTCTCCCCAGCCCCCTAGTCTGCTCTTTCTTTAGTACTTCACCCTTAATGCTTTATCCATGTGAAGGACCAGATCTCCTGAAAATCATGTCAAAGATACACTCCTCATCCTAGTTTGCTCTTTCTTCAATACTTCACCTTAATGCCTTCTATTTACACCTAAAAATAAAAAATCAATGAATGAATGTCATGTGTTTAATTAGGCCCAATCATTGGTCTAATGGGATAGTAATATCGGGACAACCTTTCTATATTAGCTTTTTATACAATTTTTACGTGTCTTTAAATGAGTGAATGCATTTAATATCACAAGTCCCAAATGAATAAAAATAGTCAATCATTTGAATGACACGTAATACATATTGAATTGCAATGAATTAAAAATTAAGGAACTAACCTAGATAAGTTAAAACATGAAGGACCAAATTTGAAATCCATTAAAATTCTAGACCACATTGCTTGGTCTTAGAAAGTTTTGGCAAATTTTAGGAGAAAATGTAAAACTAAAGATGCCAACTTTGCACCTTTTTCTATTTAACTTTTTCTTTTTCTTTTTCTTTCTTCTTTAGATCTTTTTCCATTCTCCCTTCCCTTTATTTAGTGCTTCACCTTAATGTCTTCTTTATCCATCCAAAGGATCTCCTCCAAAATCATGTCATAGATATGCTCCTCCCCCCACCCCCCCAATTTGCTTTTTCTTTAGTACTTCACCCTTAATGCTTTATCCATGCAAAGGACTAGATCTCCTCAAAATCATGTCAAAGATACGATTCCTCATCCCAATTTTCTCTTTTTTCAATACTTCACCTTAATTCCTTCTATTTACACCTAAAAATAAAAGATCAATGAATGAATGCCATGTGTTTAATTGGGCCTAACCATTGGTTTAATGGGACAATGATATCGGGACAACCTTTTTGTATCATCTTTTTATACAATTTTTATGTGTCATTAAATGAGTTGATGCATTCAATATTGCAAGTCCCAAAATTTAAAACATGAAGGACCAAATTCAAAATCCATTAAAACTCTAGACCACATTGCTTGGTCCTAGAAAGTTATGGCAAATTTTAGGAGAAAATGTGAAAATAAGGATGCCTACTTTGCACTTTTT